TGGCAACTACTAGTTTTTAATGTTTTTTTCTGTAAGAGCAAAGGAGATGGGGTGTGAGTGAGAAAAGAAGGTTGGAAGCTCCATCAGGGAACTTTTGTGATGAGTCTCTTTGGTCTGTTATGCCAAATGGCCATTGCAGGTGGTGCAGGGTGTCCACAGGTTGTGGAGAGCAAGATGCCACCCTCCTCTGCAGTGTAAGATCTGTGGCTGGAGTGGGATGCTGTGGTCACACTGGGTGCCAGCATCACATTTTGGGATCTTCTTTCTGATGTGGCATCAGGGCAGCCCTGACCAGTACAATTATGGCATCAATGGTCAACCAAACCCACTGCTCCATAGACAGAAATACCTGATTCTCTTCCTGCAGCTTCTGTCCTCAAAAGGCCCTGGATGTCAGGAGCATGCTGCTATCTGCAAACAAATGGACACTCTCTTTTTTATCCTATCTGATCCTCATTTGTGGGTATGCTCTGAAAACAATTGTGGAAAAAAAAAAGCCTTTTTTTTGTTTTGAGAAGAGAAGATTTTCCCATTTATGTCTAACTATAGCCCTAAATGAGGCTATTTAGGCAATATGTTTAGCAGAGCCAGTCAATATGAAATGAGTAACTAAGTCTCATTGTTAGCAATCATACTGAAGTGCAGTTGGTCAAAGGTACCTCAGCAGTGACTGGAAAGGAAGAAGCTGTTCAAAGAGGCAGTTTGTCACATTCATTCTACACCCAGGAGGGTGGATCACCCTCTGAAGAGAATCAACTTTTCCATGTACTGAAGAAAGAGCCTAGACAACTACCTCAGCTTATTTAAAAACAGCTCCAAAGGAAGGAGGTGAATTCCACCCTTCACCAGCCAGCTCACCCTGCAGAGAGTTGCACCTTTGCTCCACAGAATTCACAGGCTCTCCTTTCAACATGCTGCCCAGCTCATCTTCCCTTCACACCACCAACACAACTGCTTTTTGTTTGACTCACCTTTGAACACAGCCCAAAACATTCAACCCCACCCTTCTTTGCATTTATACAGGAGGGTTGAAGACATGGAGATGAGGAAGAAGAGTCTTCCTCTCACCTCCTCCAGGGTTGGAGCCAGCATTGCACAGTAGATTAATCAGTGGCCCTGTGCAGCACACCTAGAATAATTACCATGAATTTCTGAAAAGAAGAGTTAAGAGGGACAGGTGGGCTCTGTTCAAGTCAGTTGTAGGGCAGGTGACTGCACACAGCAACCCAGCAGCACATGAACAGCTGGACAAATTTTATGAGGCTAAGGCAGTACACATTCCCTTAAAGGACTTAACCAAGATTCAGAAAAAAACCTCAAACTACATCAAGTCCAACTACTGCAGTTTTGCAGGCCCACTTCTAAGGTGGAAGTTGTCTGGAAATTCAAACAGAGCAAGCAGAGCCAAGCCCTGCTCTCTCCTTGCTGGCAATGCCAGCTTATAGTAGGGTCATTCTGTGTGATGTCTGTGCACAGCACACCTTGCTGCTTTTAATAAAAAATAAACACCACAGTGAGCAAGATGGAAACTGCCTGGAGTACAACCAGCTCATTTTAAGTGCCCATCAGTGCTGCCTATGAGCATAATCCTTGGTGATCCAGAAAAGGTCTATTTTAATTCCATCTTTTGTCAAAGCCAAGGATGACCATCTGTGCTCCACATATTGCTGCTTAAGGTTCTTACAGACCAGCCATACTCTGCCCTTAAATCCTGGCCTCCCTCATCATCACTGAGACAGATGCAGCAGAGAAAGAGTTCAGTGTGGGGCAATCACTTGATTGGACACAGGAGGAAGCCAGGTAGTAAGGTGGATCCTCTGTACCAAGAGGTTCTGCACATCCCATTTTAAAACTACTGGATGAAATATACCTAAAATACTTCAGTGATTCCCAAATATTTATCAACTACTATAAAAGTAAAGCAGATCAGTTAATGAAACTGAATAAATGCAGCCTCTCTGCATATTCCTTTAGTTCAAGGAAAACCTTTGCTTTAACTTTTTTTCTAGCTCGTGTAAAACTTTCCATTTACTTCTACCTGTCTTAGTGGTTTCCACTCCCACCCCTCTACCTGAAACATCTCTGTAATTCATTATCCCATGATCCTAGTGGTGGTGGCTCTGACCTTCCAGAAAGTGATCTTCCTCTTGGAGTTTATTATAAATATCTCCAGTCAAGAACATCCAGCCTCCAAGTAGCCTTGGGAAGGGAAGGCTTTGATATGCCATTGGTTCTGTTGGCAGAAATTTAACACATTTGCCCATTTTTAATAAAAATCTACCCATCAGCAGCACTTGCTCATACCTCTGTCAGCCCTTCTAGATGGACAAAAATTAATCTGTGAAACAGAGGCAAAATTGTCATTAGAACTGCTCACCTTACATTACATATTAAAAATATTCAGGGGTCCTTTCCTGAAGTACAAAGTTACAGCACTGACAAAATTATGTTGATGTCACAGTTTCCACCACTGCTACACTTGTTCTTAATTTCCATCACTGAAAAAGACTGAAAAAAGAAAAGAGTAAGTTTGTGAATAAACAGTTTACAATAAAAAGTGATTCTTTAAGAAGAATCAGTAAGCACCAGGTGAAACACTAAAAGCTGGAGGGCAGGGTACGTGACAGCTGATGTAGTGAAACTTTCCCTTCTCCCCTCACACAGAAAAGGAGTTGGGCACAGAGGTGCAGGGATTTGGCACAGATATGCAGAAAATCATTGTCTCACTGGGAGTGTGAACAGCTCCCCTGCCTCCCAGCTCTGTCTGAAGGAGACTCCCAGACCCCTGCGACCGGCACGCCACGCAAAGATGAGAGGAGAAGCTGTGCTTTGTCCAGAAACTGTTTATTTTATTTCAAATATGTGCCCTTGTTGATTCAACAATGAACTCTGGAGAATCGTGTCCTCCACCAACCAAAGAGAGAACTGATTTGGAAATCTTCCACCTGACTTATTTGCTGATGATACCTTGACACCACCTCTCTCCTCCTCCTCCTCCTCGGCAGCTGAAAGTATGGCTCAGAGTGAGCATAAACTTGCACCTTATTCTGAAATGGCTAAAAATACAGTGAACAAAGAATTAGTAAATCAACCATTCAGGGATGCAGAGGGCCATGAAAATAGAGACAAATATAAAATACCTTATCAGGATTTTTTAGTGAGGTTTTGTTTTTTTCTGCAAGTAACATTAAAAACCACTTTTAACTTTAGTGTCCTGCTGTTCCCTCCTCCTCATTCCCCAACAGAAATAATTCCCAAAACGCTTGATGGTCCTAATATTATTTTTTATAAACATTGAAAATCCTGTCCCTCTCCTTCCAAAAAAGCAGGTAACATGGTATGGAGTGAACAAGAGAGGACAAAGCATGAATTTCACACCGTTGAGCTGCTGATTTTCTCTTCTTTCTATTTGGTATGCGTGTGTGCTCGGCCTTTCCACGGACTTAGATCATCAGACATGAAGCAAGATATTTGGGATGCTGATGCCAACCTGAGCTTTAAGGAAAAACTAAGGGTGTCTGGGGGCCTGGTACAGGTGGTCATGGACTCATGGAAGTTTCTTGGTTGTATATTTACACGGATGTTTTCCAATTATGGTCTGTGAAATATATTTTTCCAAAGACGCTCTTACATTTGAGGAGAAAAAAATAAACAAAAAACCCCCTTGATCCAAATCCCATCTCTTTTTTTTTTTTCAAAAGTCACATTAAGAATTTTGATTCAACAATTTCTCTTAGCACACTTAAAAGCAGAAGAGAGAAGAGTGACACTGATAAAAACCAGAGGAAGATGCTGATCTCTACGGAGAGCGTCGCTCTTTTTTCAGCAGTAGATGACACTGGATGGTGCGGATCCGATTCTTTGCTGGGGCAAACTCGGGCTGGAGTTTTAGGGTTGACTCATACCACTTCATGGCCTTCTCAAACTCCTCCTGTAGAGAAAGAGGAGGCCCTGTTAAAGCTCAGGAAGAACACACAAGTGCCACCACAGTGTTACTAAGGAGAAAGGAAGGAGCGTTTTGTGTTCGGAGCATGCCCTGAAAGCTGAACTGCAGATTCCAACACATAGAAAGTACAAAGAAATTTCAGTTCCATCTGTGAATGATTTTGGGTGTTGATAATCCAGATATTGCAATTAAACTTCCTTTGTGTTTGTTCACTGCAACTGTGAACTGGGTTTTGCTACTTATGCTAAGCTCAGCTCTTCAGGATGGAGACTCCATTTATCATTCATTCCCCAGTGTTATAAAACACCCTGTGTTTAGATGGGCAGCCAACCAAAATTATCAGTTGTTTGCTGCTTCTTAACAAAGCTCTGCAGACAGCAGTCTGAAGCCAGCTTATAAAAATGTTGGCCTTCAAGTACTAAATGAATAATAAGAAGAAAATGAGTAATAAGAGGTTTGGCATTCAAAAAAATGCTCTTTCTGGTTGATCCCACCCCAACTTCTTGAGCGCTTCTCCTCCAAAACTATTAGTGAGATGAATTTTATATATATATATACACACACACACACAGAGTACCAAAGACAAGACCCAAGTGGGTGTCAGCCCACTGACCATTGCCACGTAGACGTTTGCCAGTGTGAAGTGATTGACCACAAAGTGTGGAGCTATCTCCACTGCCATGGTAGCCACGATGATGGCGTCGTTCCAGAGCTTGGCGTTGTGGAAGATGTTTGCCAGGCTTATTAGTGGCACGTCCTGCAAGAGAAGGGAGATCAACAGTGAGGGTCTTTCTGCTTCAGACCATCCCAGGATGAGCAGGACAAGTGGAAGACTCCACCACCCTTGCTGCTCTTGCTTGGTTGCTGCCCCCTCTGCTGCCTGGTGACTTGGAGAGGGATGAATTTAATTTACTCTGGTGTAATTGACTACTGCAAAAGGCACTAACAGTTATAAACAAAAGCCCCTCACTTACACCCATCTGCTCATCACAGTAACTAACACTGCTGAGTAGATAAACGACTGGCAAATGAACTCCCTTAAGCATCCCAGGGTGCACTTCTGTTTTTTAGATGCTCCTACACCAGTGTTCTCCCCAAAGATGAGATGCCTTCTCAGAGACAGGAAAAGCTGCTTGTCTGACCACCCTCCTCCAGCTCTTGCATAAAAGGGATGGCAGGGAAGTGACAAAAGGGTCTGACCATCAGGACAGCTGATGCCCTGTATTTTTTTCTCCTGCCTCTGCCCCAGAATTCCTGGATGATGCTGGAAAACAGCCACAAACACACTTTTCTCAGCTAGCCACTCATGGTACATTTTTATTTCCTGGATTCCAGACTGTGACCTTGTCTGACTGACAAAACTGTTGAGCCCTGACAGCCATAACAGACTCCCTGGGAGCTGGGCTTCCTCCCTCCAAAGGACAAAATGCTGCTGAGGAGCAAGTCTTAGGCGCCCTCAACAGGACAAACAAAACATTCTGGGTGTATTCCATCCCTGCCTCCTTGAGCTCTGCAAGGCAAGGGGTACCTTTGGTGGCTAAATCCTTCATGTTTGCCAAGCAGACATGAGGGAAGGCAGCATCACAAAAGAAGCCTGCCCAGAGGAAAATTAATTCCCTTTTTATTTACATGAGAAAAGGCAAGAGAAAGCAGCCAGAGTGCACAAAAGGCAAGAGGAGGGTAAAACCAGACATGAAATAGCTGTTCAGTCAGTGCTAGCCCTCACTGAGCTCAAGCTGCAGCTGCATCTTTACAAACCAGACCCACTGTTCTCTCTGCAGGCAGAGAGGAGGAGTAAAACAAAGCACAGATTTGGAGGGGCAGTCAGTCCCAAGAGACATTACATCACACAGCTACCCCAGGATCTTGCCAAACTATCCTTTCCAATCTGTACTCTGACCCTTACACATCACACAGAGAAGGGTTTAAGGCCAAGATTCAAAAAGGAGGGCACATTTTTCAGTGCTGCATGATTTGTGGCTTTATCAGCTTGCAAGGAGGAGCTTGGTGTGTAAGAACAGACATTACAGTGCTCAGCATACCATGGGGCAAACATTTTACTCAACTCAAACACTAGCCAAAAGATTATGTCCAAAGTGGTGCCTTTTTGGAGTAAACCTCCAGCCAGAGCTGCTGCCCGGTCAGGCACTGGTGTCCTGCTGGGATTCACAGCCCAAATGCTAAAGATTTAAGCTCCTCATGGAGGTGTCCCGCCTTGCTTTAAAAGCACAACCAGAAGATACACTCCCCACATCTCAAAACTCCTCCAGGGACGTTCTGAATGGGGGGGAAGTTCAAGCCCGTGTTGCTCAGGGAGGTGTCAAACCCACCGAACTGCTGCACCTCTTTGGCAGTTGTCCTTTTTAAGGTCTGACCACAACTAGGTAAGGCCTAATACACCTCAGAGACCTGACAGACAGTGAGAGCTGCCCCGTGGCAGGCCCGAGGCCCTGGCCTGGGCAGCAGGCACCCGTGTGCTCACCTTCATGTGGTGGGGTGCGTAGTGCAGCGCCTGCCGTAAGCAGTCGATGGCCTTCTTCCCCTGGCCTTTCACCCGCCAGTACAGAGCTGCCATGCTGGACAGGACCCAGGAGGTCTGGTTCTGGGAAAAGGACACCACAAAAAGCAGTCAAAAGCCACTGAAGTGAAGGAGTTCTTCCTGCCTCTCACTCCTCCCATTTATTTCAGCTCTTGAGTTAGAGTCGTAGAATCGCAGAGGGGTGGGGTTGGGAGGGACCTCTGGGGATCATCTTCTCCAACCCCTGCTCCAGCAGCTCACCCACAGCAGGGTGCCCAGGGTGGTGCCCAGGCAGGTTTGGGATCTCTCCAGAGCAGGAGACTCCACAGCCTCTCTGGGCAGCTGCTACAGGGCTCCGCAACGGAAAGAATTTTTTCCTCTTGTTCAGGTGGCACCTCCTGGGTTCCAGTTTATCCCCATTGCCCCTTGTCCTGTCACTGGGCACCACTGACAAGAGTCTGGCCCCAGCCTCTTGCCCCCTCTCCTTCAGATACTGATGAGTGTTGATCACATCCCCTCTGAGTCTTCTTCCAGGCTGAACAGCCTTTTCTGGACAGAGATGCTGCAGTCAGAGGGTGTTACACTTAAAAATGCCATGACACTATTTGAAGCACAAAGTTTCTTATCTAACAACATATAAACAGGTAAATGAGATTGCCAAATGCAGCTCAAACTCCACATGCAACATCATTTCCTTAAGGAAGGAACAGCCACCAAACACCTTTCAACAGCAACAAGTTTCAGCAGCCACAACAGCTTCTAAGCAGCTGCCTGATGCTGTGTACACACACCACCCAGCAGCAAGCCAAAACCTGAGCTGAGTCAGCTGGTGGGCTCTCTGTAGTCAGGGGAAGGAGCAAGGCTGCTGTGGGCTGCAGCAAGGAGCAGATGCCTGCCAGGCCCAGCTGATGGAGTTTGGTGCCTCTAGCTGGCTGACTCCCACGTCACGTGGCAGACAGGAAAACACTGTGTGCTGGAATTCTGTGGACTCAGATACAGTAAATGACTGTTTATGCTCACATGTGCAATTAGATAAGTAGCCATCTTGATTTGTTTGATTAGCTCTTGTGAATACTGAATGAGAGTGGTAGACAGAAGAACTGAATTTTATTTCCAACACAAGAGTTCTGGTCTCAGCACTAAATTCTCAGCTTCTTTTTGGATCAAGCCTGCTGGCTGCAGGGGGAACTGCAGCATGCAGGAGAACAAGGCAGTGCACATCTACAGGGAAAAGAAAGGAAGTCTTGTAAGGTGAGCATAACAGTAACACCTTTACTTCTGGGGAAGGACAAAGCTACATTGGCTTCAGTTTCAAAGCACAACAAGTTCCTGGGATGGCTTTTGGTGGAACAGGCTGGGGGAACCAAACTGTTCTGGCTGAGCCCTCTTTCCTATCCTTCTTCCTTTGGTTTTCTCAAGGCAGAGCAGCCTTGCACGTGGTGCCAGAAGGCACCTGACACTTCAGCCCAACGCCACATGGGGTAGGGAAGGGAGGAGGCAGCAAAGGGAGGAGCCCCTGCCCATCACCTGCCCGACCACAGTGTGCCAGCAGCACTGCTGGAGGGCTGAGCTGTGCCCTAACTCCACAGCCCACATGCTCCAGGTCAATGCAGCACAAGCAGGAAGAGGAGGGCTGAGCACTGCTGGACACACAGTGACCACGGGGCTGGGAGCTCTGGGACATCTGGCCAGCTGGGCTTTTAGCAGGGAGATGTGCAGAATGCTGGACAGGGTAAGCCCAGGACACAGCTCCACAACACCTGTGAGGGCATGACAGATGCTGGAGAGACACAAACCCCTGCTCCAAGCACTAATGCATTCCTTGAGAGGGATTTCAGACACATGGTTCCAGAGTGGCTTGGCCAGTGTGTCACTGAGGAGTGGTGAGCCCAGAGTCCCCACTCCCCTCACCCACACACACCTTTTCCAAAGCTTTGGCTATTCGAGTGCCAACTTGTTCTAGGGACTGTGGGGAGTACTGGTCTTTGCCAAGGTTCTGTAGCACCTGTGGAAGAGGAAGAGCAAGTGTTTAGATGCTGGAACCTGGTAAGAGATGTCCCTCATTTGTTGCTGTCTTTTTTCTCCCAGTCTCTGACAACTGCTGTAACCTGTCACAACTTAAACATCCCTACCTTGAGTTAATACTGTGTGCATCCTCACACACTGCTGTAACTGCATGGCACTGGTAGAAGTTTATGTGTGCTCAGGTGGGCTTTTCATTCACAGAATCCCAGCATGGCAGGGGCTGAAAGGAACCTCTAGATATCATCTCCTCCAACCCCTCTGCTCCAGCAGCTCACCCCCTGCTGGGTGCCCGGGATGGTGTCCAGGTGGGTTTGGAATTTCTCCAGAGCAGGAGCCCCCACAGCCTCTCTGGGCAGCTGCTCCAGGCTCGGCCAGCCTCACAGGACAGAATTTTGCCTCCTGTTCAGCTGGAACCTCCTGGGTTCCAGTTTGGGCCCGTTGCCCCTTGTCCTGTCTCTGGGCACCACCAACAAGAGGCTGGCCCCAGCCTCTTGCCCCCCCTCCTTCAGATACTGATGAGTGTTGAACACATCCCCTCTGAGTCTTCTTCAATGCTGAACAGCCACAAGGCTCTCAGCCTTTCCTCCTCACAGAGATGCTCCAGGCCCCTCAGCACCTTTGTAGCCCTCCACTGAACTCTACTCTGGCAGCTCCTTGCCTGTCTTGAACTGGGGAGCTCAGAGCTGGACCCAGTATTCCAGAGGTGGCCCCACTAGGACAGAATAGAGGGGGAGGAGAAACTCCCTTGACCTGCTGGCCACACTCTTCTTCATACACCCCAGGATGCCACTGGCCATGAGGGCACACTGCTTGCTCATGGGCAACCTGTGGTTCACCAGGACTCCCAGGTCCTTCTCTGCAGAGCTGCTTTCCAGCAGGTCAGCCTCTAACCTGGGCTGGTCCATGGGGTTATTCCTCCCTAGGTGCAGGACTCTACACTTGTCCTTGTTGAACTTCACTGGGTTCCCCTCTGCCCAACTCAGCAGCCTGATCTCTGTCACTACTTCCTCAAGAGCTCTGAGCACAAAGCCCTGGCATACCTCTTTCAGTTGACTTTCTCCAGTGTAATGCAAGCTGGCCCGACCAGAGACACCTTGCAGGTGGTCCAAAGTATGCATGCTGGCTGGTAGGTTTGGGTTGCAAAGGGGCTCCATGGCTGGTTCTTGCAGCTGTGTGGCAAAATCAATGTGTTCTGTAATGCTGCAAAGGTCATAAAATAGATTGAGGAGAAGAAAACAAGAGAATCATTTTAAAATTCTCTGGTGAGTGTCAACTGCCCAGAACCTGGCAGAACCTCACTGGAGCAGCTCAAGAAGCAAGAGAAACTGCATCTTCCATATGCACTTGCAAGTCTGTTGATGGAAGAACACAATGTTTTCCAACTTCTTAGAACTCCTGGCAGGGACCTCTGGGGAGCACCTTACTCTTTCTTCCTCTAAAAGAACACCAAAATCTTCAGTTTACACACACTGAAGGCCACCTGACTGTCTTGCTCTGTGTGAGGAACTTATTTAAGGTCCACATACAGGATACTTACTCAATGTTTTTAGCAGAAACAGCAAGCCATGTGCTGGCCACAGTTGTAAGCTCTACCCTGCGGAGTTTCAGGCACTCGTCAGGGCTTGGCCAGCCAAGGCTACGATAGTCACGCCTTGTTCCTTGGGGAAGAACAATAAACAGCACAGAAATCAGAAGAAACTGGAAGCAGAAAGATATTCTACTTTAGTACAATGCTTTAGAAAACACTTTATAGCAGTGGATCCATTCCCTAGGTTCTAACAGCCACGGTCCTGCAGCCAGATGCCTTTCACAACACTCCCGAATCTAAACAGAGTGAATGGAACTTGTGGGATCCAAAGACAGAACTGGGTCCCACACAGGACAGACCAGGAGGTGGAGTCTGCAGACCTGTTTCATGATGCTTTTCCAACAGCTGCACACTAAGCACAATCTCCACTCTTGTTTATGGGTGACACCTCCACTTACGTGTCCTTAAAGCAAGTTCATAAGTGAGTCATCATTTATGTTCTGCAGCTACAGCAGGAACTAATAAAAGCTGATTTCTCCATCCTCTGACCATCCCAGGTGAAAAATACATTGGTTCTTTTCAGTGAAGACTGTTTAAGGATCTGATCTGATGGGAATGAAAGCTGACTGACACCTGTCCCTTCCATTTGGTGGGTGCTGCACCAAGTCCTAGGAACCCAGCTTGTCTTAACTGTTGGGAAACGTTTTCCTCTCCTATCAGACACATCCTAACTGTTTGGAAAATGAGAAAAATTGATTGTAGCTGTAAATCTGCACAGCAGGAAGCCAAGTTTACCAACATGCCAGACTAGTGCAGCAGCTACGTAGGCAGTATTTCAGCATTTATTTCTAGTTACCTGAAATTTTGCCCATTTGGAGGCAAAGCCTGTTTCCCATCCAAGGCATAGTAAAATGCTTCACTTTGTTTTTGCAAACTACCAGTGAAGTCTGTAACACCATGTGTTCTGACCCAAGGAAAATGAACCTTGAGAAAGACAAGGAAACTTCAGGGGGGAATGGTCACTTCTCATCCCCACCACTGTGAACTATCTGGTTGGGAGTTCCTACTTGCACAAAAAAAAGTGAGAAGCCTGGAAGAAGTACCCAGAGACTAGTCTGAGAGGTATCAAACTCTGGAACAGCCACTTCCCTCTTCTAGCAGGAGCTCCCCAGGTGACCTCCAGCATGTTCCTGAAGCTGGTGATGGTTTAGTGCTTGTGAAGAGGACGTCAGCAGACCCTGCCCCTTAGGAGGAGAACTGCTGTACAACCAAGGGATGTCATGTAACAAAGCCTCAAAAGTAGCTCAGGGGAGAGAAGACACATCAAGGAAAGGACAGTTATGTGCTCCTAAATGATCTCTGTTTTCATGTAATCCCTCCCCCCTACTGAAATATTTAATTTAGTAATCTAAGTTAGCCAGTTGCTAAAAAAGGAGCTTGTTAAAGATTTAATGTAAAAGCCTGGAAAATGCGAAATCACTTTCTAGGTCATCAAACTGTCATGGACTAAAATGTCTTGGAGAACCCATCTTTGCTTAGACATCATCCCTCTGACAAAGATTTTACCTCCACTGAAATCAAGGCAATACAAAAAGTATGGGGGCCAATTAATTCAGCTCTCTTCTTTGGCACCAACAGGATTCAGCAGCTCTAAACTTCATCCCAAGCAGCCATGTGCTGATGATTTCTGTCCACCTGAACACACCAGTGGAACCAGCTCCCACCACAGTCACAGAGCACTCTCCAATCCCTCTGACTCAGCCAGCAAAACCTCCACCTCTCTCCAAACCATGTCGTCCCTGTTGGTCCAAAACCACTCCTCTGTAACAGAAATCTGGAAGTTTTCTTTTATAACATAACCAAACCAACTCCAGCAGAACACTGAGTTTATTTCTTTTTATTTCTAATAGAGTTTTCTGCCTTTTGGCTTTGAGTTGCATTGTTTTATGTTTAGTCAGCCATCAACTCAAGCTCTCATGCTGCATTTGTCCCTGAAGGGGTGTGTCTCATCTGATTAAAACTGAATGGGCAGAGAAATTAAAGATCATCAAAACCTCCTCTTCTCTTCTACTCACAAGATCTACCTCTCTTCCTCTCCCTCATCCCCAGAAGTTCTGGGAATTCACTAGAAAGTTGCCATTCAGCAGGTAAAGATATGCCACACTTCCTGAAGAAGGTGCAGATAGAAGAGATTTCTGCTTTCTCCACAAGCATCTCTTTGTGATGCATATTTATGGTCATCAACCTGTGTAATATAAAAACTACAAAGGAAATAAAACCCAAGTAATACAAAAGCTGCAGACAACTTGCTTTCCCTAGAAGCAGCAGGTTACCTGTTGGTCCAGGAGAGGGTATCTTTGGTCCACTGATCTCCAGGGCAGTTTGGTACAAGTTTTCATTTTCTCCATTGTTCCCTTCTTCCCCGTTTCTCCCAGCTGGTTCCTGGAGATCCAAGTTCTCAGCTTTTGGTTTCTTTAAACGTTTGACTTGAAAAGTGATCTACCAAAACAACAGTATTGGCAAGATTAACAGTAAGAAACACCATGAATGTTACCAGCTCCAATGCACTCCTTGTTTTAGCCCAAAGATTCAGTTTCAAAGATGTTTCAGATGAGATCTCTCTCTCCCTCCCCACCTCAACCTGAGCCTCATTCTCTGAGCCTGATCCCTTTCACTGCATCACATCATGCAGCCAAAGCACACAGCTTCAGTCAGCAAGAGAAGAGAAAAACAATATAACTTTGAGAGAACTGAAAAGCATTTTTCATGATCCATTGTTTGTAACATGATGACAAGAGATATTTCATTGTTTTCATGCTAACTGGAACTTCTCAAACCTTCAGAACCTTTTCTTCTTTCTGTTACCTAGAGCTTTGAAGGCAGCCAGCATCATTCTAAGCTCTTGATGCTGATAATCACAACTTAGGATGACAGAATCATTCTGATTGGAAGAGACCTTGAAGATCATCAAGTCCAACTGTTAACCCAGCACTGCCAGGTCACTACTAACCCCTGTCCCTCACCCCACATCTCCACAGCTTGGAAACCCCTCCAGGGGTGGGGACTCCACCCCTGCCCTGGGTGGATGGAGAAGATGGATTGAAACTACTTGTTCACCTCACACAAGCCATGAACCAGCTCGCTGAGGCCCACAGGGGAAGTTCCTAAACCCCCTGAGCTCTCCTCATCTTTCCCTCCTCCCCAATAGTCAGCTGGTACAAGATTTAAGTGAACTCATCCAAACTTACCCATTCAGCTTCATCATCATCACCACAGTCCCCAAAACAGGAGCTAGTGAGTGCATCCTGAGCTCCCTTCTTCAGGACTCGGATTCCCTGCAGGTCCATCCGACGGCCTTTGACCTCCAGGGCCCCTTCAAAACCTTCCTGAGGCCAAGAGTTTTCAAACTCATCCACCAAAGCCAGCATCTCTTCAGACATCTGATGGTCTTCTGGCCCCTCCACTCCTTCTGAACCGTTGCTCTCAGCACTGACTGTGTCTAAGAGGGAAGAGAAGAAAACCACCCAAAATTCTCTTCCTGCTGCTCCCATGAATCAGACAAAATCAGGTGTTCTCCATGGGACCTGTTGTCCACTTGCACAAACTATCACTGACTACCACACACTGCAAATGGAGAGAGGGACTGGAGAATGCAGAGTTAAGTGTTGCAACCAACTGTTGCTTCAAAAATCAACACCTCTAGACCACTTCCATCAGTTTTCTTTCCACCCCAGCATTCTGCCTCTCTGAAGGAGTCAACAGGTGGTGTCTTGTCTCTAGATACGTGCAGGAAAGACTGAATCAAGTGCTCTGTGCCTCAGCCACAATTTCTCTTCCCTTCTGTCTGGCACAGCTGATACAGAATTCACTGAGCTACACCCAACATGTCTGTGTAGAATCTTGCAAGAAACTCCATCCTTCGGCTTGGAAAGCATTGAAACCTCTATTTCATTTTTTGATTTAAGGCATTTTGACATTAGACTTGGAGAGGAAGAACAGTGAACAGAATGAAACCCTTTTTTTCAAGTTTTAGGGGTTACTTGTTGCTTTCCAGACAGAGGGTGGGGAAATGGAGGAGGAAGGAAGACAGCTCTTCTGAAAAACCCAGAAACCAACCCGTTTGTGAGCACTGCTTTTCTAAGGCTGACTTACTTTCCAGTCTCAGGAAAGAGGGATCCCTTGCTGAACTCTGAGTAAGGACTTCTGGGTCTTCTGTACTTCCTTCAGAGTGTCCTTCTGCCACTGCTGTCACTGAGCCATGGTGGTCATCAAAGTATTTCTCCTTGTCGTGGCTGCCACCTGGAGCTTTCTCGTGACAGTGACCTGAAAGAGAGAAGTCACCACTCCCCCATGTGAGCCCACCCCACCTGCACCACTGCACAAGCTGTGCTGCAGAACCTGCAGCCTTCTAGTTTTCTATGGACAAGTTGACAGAATAATTCTACAAGGTCCCAAAGACTTGATTCAGTAGTTAAAAAGCTCATCTCCCTCTTGACAAGGCAGACCACCCAAAACAGTGACAGGAAACACAGTTATTAAGCTATCTGAAGTTAGTAGGTAGACACTGTGAACTGTTAATGAAAGAAAAATCAGGTATCTTTGGAGGGAAGGTTGCACAGTTGGTAGGAAATGGCTGTGTGCTGGGAGCCACTCCACTGAGCATCCCCAAGACATGTTTTTAGTGACACTGCACCATACGTGGGAGTTGCCTGCCATATGAACTTCTCCTAGACACCAGAATGCTCACCGTGCTCATGTGCAAAAGAAACAGGGCCAAGGAAGGTTGAGTTGGGTTTGCCAAGCTCAGACCTTCTGTGCCACCAACAGACAGCATGTAGATAAGACTAGCTCATTAAAAAGACAGCCCAAAGAGACAGGTATTCAACTGTGCCAAAAATCAGCTGAAAACTTAACAGCTGTAGTTCTGTGGTCAGGTCACAGGCTCAGATACCACTGAAGACAAAGATCTAGGATCCCAAATCCTACTGCACAGCTACAGGAGCAAGCCAGGGAGCAGGACATCTGCCCTTTGTCCCAGGGGAAGCCTGTCACCACGGGGGAGAAGAAACTCCTGGAGGAAAACATACTCCCTGTACACAGCTCAGCTCTCAAATCCCTCCTTCCTCCATTCCAATCACCTGTGAGTGAGAACAGCACCATGTACCATTGAATTAAGAAGTGAATCAAAGAAAGCCTAAATTAAAAGCAAGACTCTTCAGGATGTTCTCCATTCTACCCTCATGAATGCCAGTTTAAACCAGCAGCAAAACCCATGAAGAAGGTGAAAGAAGCAGATCAGTGACTCCCTGTCTTCTCCACACCATGATCCCAGGTTGCCAGAGACTCTTCTACCAGGCCAGCAGGACTAGAGGCTGGTTGAACTCTTGTGTAAGGGTAACCTGTCCCACAGCTTCTCAGCAAAGCAGAGCTACAGCTTTCTGCTGTGCTCCACTTTGGAAGGGCTGGAGGAAGAATGGATCAGTACTGGGGGTTGTGTGTGCCACCAAAATCAAACAAATAAAACTGTAATAATAAATCCCTTGTGAAAACCACCTCTTGCCCTACCTGTTCTGCTGTATATAAGTCAGCCAATGTTATGAGTAAATATATAAGTCAGAAGCAGTTATCTGCACAAACACTTCTAAAATCTGCCATACAGTTATACTCTGCTTTTCCTACTCTATCAGTCATTGACTCTTTCATCCTCCAAGCTGTCAACAAAATATTTATTGGTTTCATTAGAAAACCCCAACCCTTCAATACATGGAGATGCTCATGTTTAGTTGATGAGAAATGGTGTGTACAGAACCCTACAGCTCCAACTAGCCCCCCTGCCTGACACCAAGTCAGCTTGATTCTGATGCAGGGTGGGTGTTCCTCAGTCCTGTGATGACCACGACTCCCTTTGCTGAAGGTCAGCTCATCATTACCATAAAAACAGAACAAAGGGGCTGAAAACCAAGCAGCTATTTTTAATGGAAATAAAAATGTCCAAAAGAGAATAAAAGCTGGAAATAACACGGAGAAGGGAAAAAAAAACAACCACGATGTGACTTAAAATTCTTACTTAAGAGCAACTGTGTTAATCCTAATTCACAAACACTGACAGCTAAAAGCAGACTGGATGAGAGCCCTGGCTTTCTTGGGATCTGAGAGCTGCTATATATAGAAACCTGAGTGGCCTAATTTTTTCATGTTGCTGCTTTCAGATGTCTGACGTCGCAGGAGAGAGGAAAAAAAAACAACCCAGGGAAGTTCAAGGTCTGTGATGAGGCTGAAACACTGCAAGTCAAAAAGCTCCAAGCCAGGGGGGTCAGAGCCTGTCCTACCTGGTCTATCAGGAGACCTGGGGGCTCTGTTCCAGGCAGTGAAATAAAGATGTTATAAAGGTGACAAAAAAGCGTCTGGGTCTTGATTTAAGGGACAGAATTAACCCAAATTAATCATCTGGCTGTGCCAGGTTAATGTAGCTATGGAGAGGATAAAAACAGCATAGTTCTTCAGTGATAAAGCAAATCCATTGGATAGAAAAAGCAAATACAAACTCTCAACTGAGCACTGAGACCTTGGAGGTGACAAGCCCCACACAATAATACATATTGAAGGTTTCTATTTCACATGTTGTTCTACTTGGCAATTTTGGGGGGCCAATGTGAATGCAGCACATGTATAGAATTAGCACAGCACACATTTTAAACACAGAAAAATACAGAATCATAGAAAATCACCTTCATGTTTCAAGGTGAACCTGAGTTTCCTACAGATCTTGGGAGCCAGCAGCAGCAAGGGTGTTATTCCAATCACATATGAACAGATATTTGATTGCAAAACATTTAAGGGGAAAAAAATCCAGGCCAGTTATTTTGAAATGAGCTTTAAAAGCAATAGGATGGGCAGTAACTAGATCTATCATTAGCAGCTACTGCTGCTCTGTTCACTTTCATTACAAATTAACATGGTTCTATTATGTTTTTACTGCAAAATTCATGCATCCCTTTTCTTACTGTTCTGCTGGACAAAAAAAAAAGCACACTTACACTTGAAAATGAATCCCATGACTGAGCTCTGAAAACAGCAACTGCCAACCACTGAGCAGGACTGTCACCAAAACCATGACAGAAGGGTCTCAAGCCCTGGCTGCTGAACTGCCAGGCTGGGAAAAAAAGAGACCCTGGTGCTTTCCATGCACACAAGCTTAAAAAAAAAAAACCCAAACTAAAGAGTTCTTAGATTAATTTTAGAGAAAATTCATCAACAAAGTGACAAACAGAGCAGGGAAGTAAAGGGGGAAGAAAAAGAGAAGCTCTTAAATAGAATGGCTGGCTCTGAAGCCAGCAAGGCATGACCAGGGTGACAGCAACACCAGGGCACCTCCAGTGCCTTTTACCATTGTAGCATGCTGGATAAATCACTAAAAATATTATCTACAACCCACCCATCAGAGCTCCTATTCTGGAATAATGAAGGACAGACTGTAGAGATTTCCCTCTCTGGTCAAGTATTTCAAGTAAGTATCAACACAGGCAGTGGCAGAGAACGATGAGTGCAGTGCCCAAAATTCAGACTAAGTTTTTGGTGTGTTTTCTCCCCACACATGAACATTGCTCTTTTTTTAGCTTTTTTCTTTTAATATACATCCTGCTTTGCAACATTCCCAGCTGCAGGGGCAAACAGCTCACCTTTCCATAGGGCAGGACATGCTGCTAACTGAAAAACAAGAGCTATGGACAGAGAATAAATAATGAAAAGCAATCTGAAGTATTTTAAAGCTGATTTTCCTAAATTTCTGGCTCTTTTCTACCTCTACCCTCTCCTCCCTTAGATGAGAGGTCACTGGCCCTTCCTTCTTCAAAGATGAGAAGGGGCATGCTCAAAATAGAGTCCTCAGAAGAGCGTGCTACGTAACAAGCTTTGGTTTGATGCATGACAAACAAGAGGGTGATGATTTATATGGTCAAAATTTAGAATCAAGCACACAAAAGGAAGCATAGAAAGGTTCTTTTTTATTATTTATTCCAAGAACATGTTTTCAATTAAGAGGATTATAGAGTTAAAAACCACAAACCTGTTTTCACTCGTAGGGAAATAGTGTTTAAATCTGATTTTTGGCCAAAAGATGCCTCTAAATTGGCTTAGCTATAGATTTAAAGATTATCTATTTGTCTCCTTACAGCAGTTCTGATTAAACCTTTCACAACACAAATGCCACCAATTCCTAACCACATTTCTTGCTCATATTGAGAGAAATCCCTCCCCATTGCATAACAGGCAGGTCCCTGATGGACAGATGCACAAATTCTCCTCATGAAATATAAAGAAAGGATAAATAAAACATGGGAGGGGAAAAAAAA